CTTCAATCGATTGTCCAAAATGCCGGCATACTACCAATAAAGGAGGGACAAGCTCTCATTAGTAACGATAAGTGGTCTTTAGTTAAGATATTAGACTTAAGTTTAATACGTGAGGATCTAGAATAAAAAATTTATTAACTCTGAAATAAATAATTTAAATATTGAAACAGATTATATTCAAAATTTGATTGATTATTTATCCATGTTAATTAAACATAATTGTGCTACCAGCCTAATGAGTTTTATAGCTAACACCACCCAACGCCGGCCCCCATTAGTATAGTTTGATGATGTAAAGATAATGAAAATAGAAACCGATCGATGGATGTTCTATTCAAAAATTACAGTATTACTTACCAAAAAATTTGGAAATGAAATATCATACTATAATTTAATTGGGACATACATAATCTCAGCCGACTACAACTACGAAGCTAAAATTAAGGGATTCAATCAGAAAAGCCATCATGAGAATATAGAAGAATATCCGTTGACTCCCTTACCAATAATAAGCGTAAGCGTGGGCTGAACTACACCTTCAGGTCACTCCATCAAGTTCGGTGGTAAGGTCTCATCATAACCTACAAAACGAACCCAAAATTGGCACACCTAGTTCTACCAGTCTAGGAGTTCCAGTTGTAATCACCGATTTACACCTTCAGGTCACTCCATCAAGTCCGGAGGTATGGACTCGTCATAACTAACAAAACGAAGCCCAAATTCGGCACACCTAGTTCTACTCGTTCAGAAATTCCAGCAGTAGTTACTGAATTACCCCTTCAGGTCACTCTATCAGGTCTGGTGGTAAGGTCTCATCATAACTAACAAAACGAACCCAAACTCGGCACACCTAGTCCTACAAGTCTAGGAGTTCCCCTTGTAATTGCTGAACTACACCTTCAGGTCACTCCATCAAGTTCGGTGGTAAGGTCTCATCATAACCTACAAAACGAACCCAAAATCGGCACACCTAGTTCTACCAGTCTAGGAGTTCCAGTTGCAATCACCGATTTACACCTTCAGGTCACTCCATCAAGTCCGGAGGTATGGACTCGTCATAACTAACAAAACGAAGCCCAAATTCGGCACACCTAGTCCTACTCGTTCAGAAATTCCAGCAGTAGTTACTGAATTACCCCTTCAGGTCACTTTATCAATTCTGGTGGTAAGGTCTCATCATAACCTACAAAACGAACCCAAACTCGGCACACCTAGTCCTACAAGTCTAGGAGTTCCACTTGTAATTCCTGAACTACACCTTCAGGTCACTCCATCAAGTTCGGTGGTAAGGTCTCATCATAACCTACAAAACGAACCCAAAATCGGCACACCTAGTTCTACAAGTCTAGGACTTCCAGTTGTAATCATCGATTTACACCTTCAGGTCACTCCATCAAGTCCGGAGGTATGGACTCGTCATAACTAACAAAACGAAGCCCAAATTCGGCACACCTAGTTCTACTCGTTCAGAAATTCCAGCAGTAGTTACTGAATTACCCCTTCAGGTCACTCTATCAAGTCTGGTGGTAAGGTCTCATCATAACTAACAAAACGAACCCAAACTCGGCACACCTAGTCCTACAAGTCTAGGAGTTCCACTTGTAATTGCTGAACTACACCTTCAGGTCACTCCATCAAGTTCGGTGGTAAGGTCTCATCATAACCTACAAAACGAACCCAAAATCGGCACACCTAGTTCTACCAGTCTAGGAGTTCCAGTTGCAATCACCGATTTACACTTTCAGGTCACTCCATCAAGTCCGGAGGTATGGACTCGTCATAACTAACAAAACGAAGCCCAAATTCGGCACACCTAGTTCTACTCGTTCAGAAATTCCAGCAGTAGTTACTGAATTACCCCTTCAGGTCACTCTATCAAGTCTGGTGGTAAGGTCTCATCATAACTAACAAAACGAACCCAAACTCGGCACACCTAGTCCTACAAGTCTAGGAGTTCCACTTCTAATCACCGAACTACACTTTCAGGTCACTCCATCAAGTCCGGTGGTAAGGTCTCATCATAACCTACAAAACGAACCCAAACTCGGCACACCTAGTTCTACCAGTCTAGGAGTTCCAGTTGCAATCACCGATTTACACCTTCAGGTCACTCCATCAAGTCCGGAGGTATGGACTCGTCATAACTAACAAAACGGAGCCCAAATTCGCCACCCCTAGTTTTACTCTGCAAGAAGTTCAAATAGCGGTCACGAAAGTACACCTTCAGGTCACGCCATCAAGTCCGGAGGTAAGGTCTCATCATAACCAACAAAACGAGCTCAAACTCGGCACACCTAGTTCCGCTCGTCCAGGAGTTGCAGTAGTAGGTAAGTTTATATATCCTACTTATTTTTAGCTAAATAAAAAACTGTGAGTATAAAAATAATAATTTTATCACTTGTCAAGTACTTATGTTTCCAATTTGTTTTTTTCTAATATTTTGTGTATGTACAGCGATCTTTTCAGAATGAGCCGCTGCAAACAGGCGATACAATGTCCACTCACGACGGCGGCCGAGCGCGGACTGTGGTTTCATCGAAATCTTTGTACAATAAATCAAAGCAGGCACCAACAATAAAATAGCCCTTATTGCAATAGATTATGATTCATCCGTATTACCAAAATATGTGAAAAAATGTGAATCAGTTTTTATTTTTTTTTACGACTATTTGTGACATTTTGTTAAAAAATAAACCCAGGGTTTTTTAATTGAATATGTCTGTCATCTTATAGTATTTTTTAAATTTTTTTAAATATGTTGATAATAGACCAAAACATGTACCGAAACACAAGCCGGTATCGTTAATTTTGTAGAAAATGGCAACGAAAGTTCGTTTTTACAATATAAAAAACTACTATTTTCAACAAAAGAGTTACAGACGTTTGCAGATGAAGAACCAATCTATACATGGTAGTTTTTACTTATATTTGATTTGGTTTAGTTTTGTCACAAAATCTACCGAAAAACACCCTAATTTTGGTTGATTTGCAAACGCGTCCTTAAGTAGTATATAAGTAATGTATCACACATTCATAGTTATAAGTTTCAAATAAATTCTTTTTAAAAACATCCTGAGTCAATTTCGAATCTTGACTACCTTATCAATATTTATATTTTAATAAGGTCTCAAAGTTTTTCGGATAAATTATTAGACTGGATCACTTTCTATTTGTTTGTGAAGTTTTCTTAGAAGCGTTTTAGCCATTCCGAAGATTAGCTTGGACAGAAAGACAAGATAATTTTAAACAATTTTAACAGTTAATCAACGGTTAGCATGTAAATATTTTAATAGGTACAAAAATAATAAAAAAATAAAATCAACAATAATTATTAAAAAAAAACTCTTCGAACGCGTCTCACTTTTTTGTAGTTCACAAGTTAGCGAAACTGGACTGAATTTTTTTTCGTAGTTTATGTCATATCGTGATCATTGATTCCAATTATAAATGGATAATTTTATGCTATCGCGGTTCCCTCGTTTATTGGCTCTAGAAAATCGAAAAATCATCCGATTTAAATGATTTTTTTAAAATCATAATTTTACGGCGGATTTTCGAAAACAATTACAGGAATAAAAAAAAATTAATACATATTGGTTTCAGGGCTTTAAATGTTCATGAAAATGCACTCATTTGTCAAGTTATTATATTTTTTTTTCATAATCTACACAAAAAAACAAGCAAATTGAAAAAAAAAAGCATTGAAAAATGTTTGTTTATTAATTTTTTATTTTGGTGTTTTATTGAGTGTAAGATCGAGCGAAGCGTGCTCGGGACTTAGGGCATCCCGACTCGGACGGCTTAGGTTAGAAGGAGATGATGGGGTCGAGTGACCTAGCGAATAGACCCCGTCATCTCTTTCGTGGTTATATTTTTATAAATCTCTCAGAAGTAAGAGCTCTGCGAAGCGGGTCTCCGTCAACCGGGCTTCCCTCGACTGTGTTACAGGGGAGAGTTGAGGGAGGGAATCATCACGCCAATCAACGTAGACAGTGAGCCAGTGAGAGGTGATAGAGGTGACGCCATTTAAATCCCATTCTTTAACAGCACGAGTAGTAAATGTTTTTTATTTGATTTATTTTTAATTAGGTGATTCTAGCAAAGGGGCTTTTATAGATTAATCGATTCATATTGTCCTCATGTTAAATGTATGTTCGTGAGTGATAGTAAATATGAATTTTCGAATATTTTTTCTACATTCCAGCTGCTGCTATATTATATTAAAACTTGTATACTATTTTAATGTTGAGTTCAGAATGATAAATGAAACAAAACAAAAAAGATAATTGAGTTTTTTTTTGCTGTTTTATTGTTCCATACTATTAGCCAGACATCAATTTGTGTCGGCTAAGGCCTGCTGTGTTTACAAAAAAAAAAAAAAAGTGTTTAACAGCCTCTTGACAGGCGTTAATAAGGCAGCCACATATACCTAAGTATAACTATTGGGTTACGGCCGTTCTCATGAATAATACCTTTGGCATACTCAGGTGGACTCAAAATAAACTTAACGCCCTGGATAGAAAAGTCCGCACTTTTATTATGACGTCCAACAGGATGTATCACCCAAGATCGTCAGTACTGAGGCTGTATGTGTGTGAGGAAATCGCGAAGTGTGCAGCCTCCGTAATAACTTCCCGGCAATATACACGGCAGGCATTCTACACAGACGTCATTTCATGTGATAAAGGGTTTACTTCAGGGCAATGGAAAGATCCGGCAGTACAGAGCATTTCCGATCGGGAGACCGGATGGAAGGAGAAGGAGCTTTTTGGTGACTGATGATGTTTTGTTGACCTCTTCGGGGAAACCGAGGGTTTTGTCTTTGCAATAACAAGATCAGGTTGTTAAGATCAAAACTAACGTAGATGCATTCTAGGGCACCATCACTTAGAATCACTTACACCGAATCTCTTAGGCATGTCATCTCCGGTTGACCGGCGCTTTCTAACTCCAAGTACTTGCACACTAGGCCAAATGTTAGTTTGTCCCAGCCGGATATAATGCAAAAACTGACTGAACGCATAGACGACCTGAAGCAGAGAATCGCTGCTTGGGGAAAGCGGATTGGGCGATATACCGAGAGGTTGACACGGTTCAACCAGCATCGTCTCTTCCAGAGTGATCAAAAGAGGCTTTATAAATCATTGGAGCGACCAACGGTAAGTAGAACGGGGCCAGTATCGAATCAGGCCGACACTGTCGCATTCTGGCACGGTCTGTGGTCAGAGCCCGTAAACCACAGCGAGGGCCCTTGGACAGAAGCTGTTGTGAGTCAGTGTGCGAATATAACGCACATGGACCCCGTAATCATAACGCCGTATGACGTAGCTGAGGCGGTCCGTAGGGCACCAAACTGGAAAAGTCCGGGACTAGACGCGCTGCATCACTACTAGCTGAAGGGGTTCGTGGTGTGTCACGCTGTGCTCACCCGACAGTTTTAAGAGGCTCTCAACCAGAAATCGCTCCCTAGCCTCTTTACTACTGAATTTAGCAATTATATTAGAATGGAGCTGGGAACAGATAAGTGTGCGGTTCTCCATGTAGAAAGGGTTGCTAACTCTGAGGGCATAGACTTATCTATGTCCGTCACTTAAGGACCCTTTCCGAGGCTGAAACATACCGATACCTGGGTATGTCACAGAACATCGGTATCGATTCCATTCCGGGATACATGGTAATGAGAGTGCTGATCTCTTGACTAAGAAAGCGACACAAACAGGTACCCTCTCTCAGTATCAAAATTTCCCCCATGACTTGCTTCCACTAGTAAAATCTGACTATATGGCATCTTGGTAAGGTATCTGGGACCAAACTAAAAACAAAAAATGTAAACTGTAAAGACTACGCTCGGGTTCAAGACATAACCCCACACAAACCTTGGTTTTTCCATTATCGTAAGCCAACAAATTCACTACATCAACCGTTTGCCGTCTTCGCTTCGGTTATTCTTGCACGCCGGTACACCTAGCCAAATTACGGAAATATGGGATAATTCTTTATGTGAATGTGGTCTTTACGACGGTTCCACCGACCACATACTTTTCAAATGTCCACGAGTCAAGTTCTCCTTGTATGATAGATATCCTTCCCCAAAACATTCTTCGTCCTACTAATTTTGCCTGTCTGCTCTACCTCTATCGTCGCTATCTGTTGTGTTCTCCTCATTTATTCATATTATATGTGATTTTATATATACTAATAATATTAAGTTGTAACATAATACTAATTATTGTTGGTGGCAGAATTATAAATGTTTGTATTGTCTTTTGTCGTATAGTCTACGACTTCTTTTTTACTTCTAATCGAAGTAAAAAAAAATTACTTTGTTGTCACTTCCATGACTGACTTGACATTGTCAGAATTTGTTTAAGAGAAGCCATAAAGTAAAAAAGAAGAAGAAGAAGAAGAAGAAGAAAATTTTCGTACAATGATTTTTTATGACATTCGATGTCATTTAAGTCAATAAGAAAGTTATAATAGACTTCGATTTGTCTTTCACGATGAAGCCCCATCTCGTGCCACTGTTTACAACTGGTTTAATGACTTTAAATGTGGTCGCACTAATCTCACCGATGATCTGCGTGAGGCACGGCCTTCTACGGCGACGACCGAAGAAAACATCAGTGTTGTGCGGCGTATGATAAATACTGATAAAAGAGTGACTTATCAGCAGATTCGGACAAGCTCAGGCATCGGTATGAGTCAAGTACACAAAATCCGCCACGAAAATTTAGCGGTCAGGAAGCTATGTGTTCGGTGGTTACCTCATAATTTTACAGAGGCCCACGAACTCTGTCGTGTTGATTGGTGTCGTGAAATGGTTCAAAGATTTAACGGAGGTGACTCAAATGCTGTGTTCAGCATACTTACGGCTGACGAAAGCTGGATTTATTGTTATGATCCTGTAACTAAGACACGATCTGCTGTCTGAGTGTTTCTTTCCGATGAGTTGCCAACTAAAGTGAAGAGAGGTCGAAGCGTGGAAAAAGAGATGGTGGCCTCGTTCTTTGGAAGGACAGGTACCCACCTGTCTATACATATCCGGTACTTGATTTTAATAATGTTTTTAGTCTAGGAGCTTGAAATTTGTAGTTTTGAATTAATTACGAAAAAAATAAATTTCACTAAAATTGCTTATAACGAAACGCAAATATGTCAATTTCGTCTATCGTCGTGTGTGTTCGGACGTAGAACAAAGCGATCGCTAATAATTGAGGGCGGGGCAATGGCCTCTAATACAGTGAAATGTAATAATTGCAATATTGTGATTTCTGAGTTATTGGCCTTCATTCAAAACAAGGCTGATGTTATGGATGAAGAAAGCATTATATGTCTGTATGCTACTTCGTTTTCGAGTGAGGAAGTGGTACAAGCAAAAAATTTACTTTTCGAATCTATTACCACCACGAGCCGAAAGATTACGCGCAAGAAAGAAGGAAAGATGCAGCGTGATATCGAAGATATTATTAGTATAATTAAAAGGACAGACCCAGAAAAAATGCCCATATTCGTTGCAAAAGACCCACAAAAATTACCGCCGGTTACTTTTGATCACGTAGACGTGACAAGGCTGCTAAAGGATATCATTACTTTGAAAAATGACATGAAAATTATAAAAGAGAAGTACGTGACTTTAGAAATGTTGGAAGAAAGAGTTCCGTTTTTAGAAATAAATGAAAATATAAACAATAGAAGACGCGGGTATTTACTAAATAACAGTTTGAATGTAGATAGCGGCCCAATTGGTTTAACACATATACACAGCGGGTCAACAACCGCTATAAGCGAGGTCAATGAACTGGCTCGCGTTGATAACGACGTACCTGTCGCATTCTCACGCGATATTCCTGTCTCGGTCGCACCACTAACTGTACATCGCTGCGAGGCAACTGCAGTTTGTGATCATATCCTAGACGGACCCAACCATTACATCAGATTTGATAGACCACAAATCCTCGCGAAAGAACACCGATTCCTACTAAGGATGATACGTGAGGCTATTGAAATTAAAAAACATCCTAATTTCAACAGAGAAGGAGGCTGGGTACTACCATCTGCTTGGGATCCTATAATCAATAAAATTAAAACTAAACCCAAGCATACCACTGCAAGACCTCAGGACATAGTCAGTTCATTTTACATAGATCGGACCATAAACAATAATTAAAAAAGCTGAAGGTACTCCGGGTTTAACAATGACATCGGGACGTCAGTCATCTCAGTCCCCGTGACCATGGGTGCTGGAAAGCGCCCGAAACGTCGGGAATTAAAAATAAAAGTAAATAAAAAGTAAAAATAAACGCGATAAAATCCGTAAAAGTAGTTTTAATCACGTACCGTATGGTTTCTTAATTAATAATACTACTTTTAGGTGCAACACTAGGGAAAAATATTGTCACCACTGAAAGTACACACACAAAGGATTCAAGAGGAAGGAGATAAAGGACCTACATCTCGCTGACAATGAAACTATGGTCAGTTACGTGTTCAGTCACTATTCACATGCCTACCTATTGAAGACTGCTTCTCAAACTACAAGATAACAACATGCCTACAGAATATGCAGTATTACTCAAACACTGCCTCACATCTGGCTATCTATTGTAGAAGGAAGAGTTCTACAAGAAAGTTGATGGTGTGGCGATGGGCTCACCCGTATTTCTTATAGTCGCCGACATATATCATGGAGGACTTTAAGAGAAACCCTTTTTACTGCTCCTATAAATCCAAGATTCTACAAGCGGTACGTAGATGACACTTTCAAAATTTTATCGTCTGACAAAGCAACTGCATTTTAGACCACTTTAACTTCATAAGCTTCAAAATACAAATCACGATGGAGTTAGAAGCAAATAATACTTTAGCTTTCCTAGATGTTTTAGTCATCTGAAATCCTGATAACACTATTGGACATACTATGTAAAGGAAAAAGGTCTATACCAACCGATATTTAAATGGTGAATCTCACCATCTTTCTTCATAGTTTGCTACTGTGGGTAAATATTTGTTTCAGAGAGCACAAGGGATCTGTAACAGAATACATCTGGTCGCCGAGCTTCAGCATGTCAAGCAAGTATTGCAAGAGAACAAGCTTTGGGTCCCAAGCCTATGTCACAGCGACCGAGTGAAGCCCGCCACAGTCGGTGGATGGGTGCTGCCATCTGCTTGGGATCCTATAATTAACAAAATCTATCCAAAACCAAGCATACCACTGCAAGACTTCAAGATACTGTAAGATCGTTTTATGTAGATCGGGACTAAAAATCAATATTCAAAAACTGAAGATAGCCGGGCTAACTATGATAGTGAGATGTCAAACATCTCAGTTCCCTCCCCTCCCGTGGAAGTTGCTTTGGAGAGAGTGAATATGAGGCAGAAAAAGGAATACGAAGCCTATAAGTTCCTTATTCCGAAACATAAGTTGTCCGTTTTTATGGACGAAAATATATGGCCTCAAGGTGTGTCGTTTCGAAGATTTGTAACTTTCTACAAAAGAAATGATAACGCTCCAAGGCGTGAGAGCGACAAATAAAAAGCGAGTAAATAAAATATAAATAAAAAAGAAAGGAAAAGGTAAAAAAGGAATAATATATAAAAAAGAAAAAAAAATAGAGAAAAAAAAAATGGGCAGCCGGTTGAATGGAGTGCCTGCCAAGTTTTTGAGCTTTAACTGTAAGTCGTTGAAAAGATCCATAGAATGTGTTAAGTCACTATGTAAAACGGCCGATATTATAGCATTACAGGAGACCTGGCTACTCCCTTACGAAATACCGAGTCTCGGCAATATAAATCAGGATTTTAGTTTCTTCGGTAAGTCGGCGATAGATACATCGGCAGGAATCCTATACGGTCGACAGTACGGTGGAGTTGCTCTTTTATGGCGAAAGAGTGTCTTTAGATCGGTCTCCGTTATTTTGTGCAAAAGTGAACGTATCGTAGCAATTAAAGTAAATATAGGAAACGGCTCTTTGCTTATATTTAGTGTTTATATGCCAACGGATTGTTCTGAAAATTTGTTAGAATTTAGTGACTGTTTGAGTGAAATTGCGGCGAGTGTTGAAAATCAAAATGTAGAATCTGTTTTTATCTTAGGGGACTTTAACGCACATCCTGGAGAACGTTTCGGTAAGGAATTAATTAGCTTTTGTTTTGATCAAAATTGGTTGTGTGCTGATATGTCGAAATTAGGTGAAAACTCAGATACCTATACTTTTATAAGTGAGGCGCACGGTAGCAGGCGTTGGCTAGATCATTGTGTCGTCACCAATGCCGCCTGGAGTATGGTGGTCGGTGTGGATATACACTACGACATTTATTGGTCGGATCACTTTCCACTGGAGATACAGTGTGACCTGTCGATGGTCAGACCTAAATTTGAATCGCAAAATAGGGTAAGCATAAACAAGGTAGTTTGGGGACATAGAGATGAAGGTCAAATTGCAACATACCATGATCTTTGTTTAAAAATTTTGAGAGATATTAATACTTTAAATGAATATACTCCTATTCCTTGCTGTAATAGAATGTGTTATATCCTTGATCATAAAAAAATCTATAGATGTAATGTATAATAAAATTGTTGCATCATTATCAGAGGCCGCTATATTTAGTTATAATAAGGGAAAGTGTCGGAAGAGCGTTCGTATTGTTGGCTGGAATAGACATGTCAAGGATGTTCACCGGTATGCTAGGCAAAAATTTATAAATTGGGTGTGGCATGGCAAACCTATTGTTGGTAAATTGTATAAAGAAATGTATGAATCAAAAAAGTTATTTAAACAAAAATTAAAATTTTGTCAAAATAATGAATATCAAATTAAAATGGACATGTTAGTTGAAAAGCATAAAAACAAAGACTTTAAAATTTTTTGGAAACAAACAAAAAAGGTGAATCCTAAGCCGAGTATCCCGGTGAGTATTGAGGGGGTGAATGAGCCAGGAGAGATAGCAAATTTATTTCAAGAGCATTTTAAAGTAATATCACCGAACATTTCGTCGCGGATAGTGTCAGATGTTGAGGACGGCCAGACGGGCGCGGGCGTGCCGATTAGTTTTACGCCGAATGAAGTTTTCGACGTAATTAAAAATATGACGAGGGGTAAATCGCCAGGGCATGATGGCCTCAGTATTGAGCATCTTCTGCATGCAGGGCCTCATCTCTCCAGGCTTCTAGCTACCTTCTACACCCTTTGCTTGAGACATTCCTATCTTCCTGAGCAGCTGATGAGAACTATTGTTGTGCCTATAGTAAAAAATAAAACCGGAGATATATCTGACAAAGAGAACTATAGGCCCATCTCATTAGCTACTATCATGGCTAAGGTGCTTGACAGTCTGCTTGAGCGGCATCTCAGTGGATATCTAAAATTACATGATGCTCAGTTCGGATTTAAAAAGAGTCTCTCCACTGAGAGTGCAATATTCACTCAAGCATACTGTTAGGTACTATACCAATAGGAAAACACCAATTTACGCTGCCTTCCTGGATCTGTCAAAGGCATTTGACCTAGTTAATTATGATATTCTGTGAAAGAAGCTGCGTGAAGTGGTCTTACCAAGCGAGTTGATTGAAATACTTAAATACTGGTATGGCCATCAAATAAATCAAGTCAGATGGACAGAAGCACTGTCCAACGAGTACAGGTTAGAGTGCGGGGTTAGACAGGGTGGCCTAACTTCACCAGCGCTCTTCAACCTGTACATTAACCAGTTAATCGTTGAGCTCAGCAACGCTGGTGTCGGCTGCTCAATAGATGGGCATTTCGTTAACAGCATAAGCTATGCAGACGACATGGTGTTTCTGAGCCCATCGGTTAACGCACTGAGGACATTACTTAATATTTGTGATACTTATGCTGAGACTCACGGTCTCATTTATAATGTAAAAAAAAGTGAAGTGTTGTTATTTCGAGCTGGATCAAAAATTGAAACGATTCCACCTGTTAAATTAAGGAACGTACAGTTAAATAGAGTGTATCAATTTAAATATCTTGGTCACGTTTTAACTGAGGATCTGACTGATGATGCGGACATAGAAAGAGAAAGAAGGGCATTGGCGGTTCGCTGTAACATGCTGTCCCGTAGCTTTGCACGCTGTACAGAAGAAGTTAAGGTAACACTTTTCAAAGCCTTTTGCATTTTACACGTGCAGTCTATGGGCTAAGTACACGCAGAGAGACTACAATGCCCTTCGGGTACAATATAATAATGCCTTCAGGGTGCTGATGGGGTTTCCGCGGTATTGTAGCGCTTCAGGGATGTTTACAGCGTACGGTACGGACGGTTTTCATGCCATAATTCGAAAGAGAATAGCATCCCTCATGCGCAGGGTTCGTGGGAGCTCTAATAGCATTCTGAAGGCAACATCTGATAGATTTGATTGTCCCATCCTAGGGCACTGGATGCGTATGCACTTGCATGTGCCTGGTGTCATGGGGTGCCAAAAATAATAAAACTAATTGTTATGAAAATTGTACGTGTAATTATTTAAGACTAACATAGGTTAAGCTAATTTACTAACATATTATGGACTATATGTGGGTCTGAAATAAATTATTATTATTATTATTATGAAGGGTTAGGGTCAGGGTTAAGCTTGTACCTTTTAGACTGTTTTTTGGTTTTGGAAATGCCTTTTGAATTAATTACGACAGAAATAAATTTCACTAATAATTGCATAGTACCCGGTTGACCGAGCTTTGCTCGGTATTTTTCGCTCGGTTTTTTTTAATTCGTGTGTTTTGGAAATTATATTTAGATACAAATTACATACTGATGAAATACGAATAATATTTTTTGATCGTAGCGACATAATAAAAAAAAACTGAACTGGTTATTTGAATAAAAATTCATGAATGCAATTAGTTTAATTTAAATTTTCGTGTTTTTAAAAAATACTAAAAAAAGGGCTCGAAAAAATATATTTTCTCAAAAAAGAAAGGAACTTGAAAAAAAAATTAAAAAAATTCGGTCGGTCTGGGCTCGATTAAGCTATTTGTAATCATTAATAAACTGTCAAAATTTACTTTCTTATTCTAACGATATTGTAGCAGTTTTTCATTGCCTAAAAACACGGACAAAAAGACATTTTCTAAAAATAAATCCTAGCTAGATCGATTTATTGCCCCCGAAACTCCCTGCACACAAAATTTTATGAAAATCGTTGGAGCCGTTTCCGAGATTCCGATTATATATATATATATATATATATACAAGAATTGCTCTTTTAAAGGTATAGGATAACGAAACTACTTAAATACGGTCTGACCAGGCGTACAGAGCAGTCGTGTTTTACAATTTTTTAAATAAATTCAATTACGCTCAACAATCTAAATTAAAACTTAATTATTCAAGGTTAAGATATAAAGTTAATTGAGTTACCAGTGCATCGATTACGTGATAAATTGCGGAGATTTACTTCTACATCGGCGCATAAGCAAGGTAACCGCTCTTCACCCCCTCGGGGAAAAGAGACAAATTATATTTTATTTGACCTTTCACTCCGTAGCGATCACTGAGCTTAGGCGTGATATACGCTGTGCCACAGATCTATGATGAACGTACTACGCTCGCCTACTGGAAGTGGCCTAAGTGGGTCGGAACCAAATTTGTCCACAACACCTAAGCCTACAGATAAATCAAAGTTTAACATGCGCAATAAGAGAAAGCGTTTTGATGAGTGCGAAGATATCAAGGAAGAATTAAGCGAAATTCGTAAACAAATGTCACAAATGATGTCGATGCTCACAAATTTGAGCATTAGTCAGCAAGAATTTAATAATAAAATGAATAATGATGTCTCAGATATTAAAGAACAGATGACTAATATAAAAACTAATATTCAGAATCTCACAATAGAGCAAAACACAATAAAATCTGATATCCTAAATATAAAGTCTAATAATAATATTACCAATAAGAACGTTGAAGCATTGCAGTCTGAAGTAAACCTGCTTAAAAATACGTCAGGCAATCTTACAACTCAGCCTGCAGACACTTCTTACGAGTCTATCATATCTGAAATTACTGAACGAAACTCTAGACGTAAGAACATAATCATAGATGGACTACCGGAACCCGTATCGAAAAATAAAGAGGAAAGGAAAGACATCGACACAAAACAAGTAACTAAGATAGTAAAGACGATAGATGAGAGTTTCCAGCCTAAAGTGGTATACCGTCTTGGCAGATATAGCCCCGGCAAAGATCGTCCCATAAAAGTATGTTTTTCGTCTTCAGAGACAGCTTTAACTATGTTACGCAGTAGAAAAAATGAGAATTTAGGCAATCTCAAAATATACGCAGATCACACCCCTCTACAGCAAAAATATTATAAAGACCTTAAAGAAGAAGTTAAGCGCCAATCGATAAATAATAACAATAAAAACTTTATTATAAAATATGTAAGAGGTGTGCCGAAGATCGTAGAAACCTCCTCAAAAAACTAAAATCACATGACACCACTCACCTCCAAACACTTTCGTGCAACATAAACCCAACTACCTATGAAATTGTTAATAGTTACAAAGATATTTCTTCCACCAAAAAGTCTCTACGATTTCTATATGCTAACGTAAGAAGTATAGTGAAACCAGGAAAATTGGATGAACTAAAATGCGTAGTTGAGTCGTTTCAGAATAGGATTCATATAATCATCCTATCAGAGACATGGATAAAGTCAGACGAGGAAGCTATTAGTCTTCAGATTCCCGGCTATATTCACCATTTTAATTACAGGCGTAACATGAGAGGTGGTGGAGTATCTATATTCATTTGCAATAGCCTAAAACACCACGTAACAGAAAATCAGTCCCAGGGTGAAAATCACTACCTATGGATCCATCTTGACCACTATTGTCTTGATATAGGTGCTGTATATCGGAAACCAGACGCCTCAAACTTAAAAGTTTCTTGGAATTTTATTCCAAGCAATTACATGAAAGAAGCAGAGCCCTTGTATTTGGAGACTTTAACATTAATTTACTGAGTCAACAACAGGCAATCAATAACTACAAGGAAGTGCTAGAAGAGAATGGTCACAATATAATAAATAAAATAGACGAAAAATACTGTACCCGTGAAACAGTTTCAACAAAATCAATAATAGACCATGTTTGCTCAAATCTCAAACGACACAGATTTAATTTCATCATAATCGAAACCCCTATGTCTGACCACAAGCAAATATACTTTGAAATACAGAAATCCCGGCCTGAACCACTGCGAAAAGTTAGATATGAAGCTATTAACTACGAACAACTATGTAAAACTATGGTAAACTGTACAGATATTGGTAATAAATCATATGAAATATTTAAAGAGAAGCTGGATTCTTGCCTCAGCAATAGTAGATTCCCAAAAATAAAAATTTTAACCCACCTCGCCAAGACTGGATCAATAGGAAAATTTTAGATAGAATAAATAGTCGAAATATAATATGGAACAAATTTAAGAAGAATCCAGAGGACAAATTATTAGAAGAAGCATTCATCAAAGAAAGAAACGAAGTATCAAGAACCATTCATAAAACTAAAACTAAATATTATTTAAAAGCATTCAATGACTGCAAGAGCAACCCTAAAAAGATGTGGAAACTAATAAAAGACCTTTCTAACAACAAAGTAAGAGACCCATCACTACCGAGTAAACTTTTAACAGCGAAAGGTTACATAACGGATCAAAATGGTATATGTGAACAATTTAATGACTTTTTTACTAATGTAGGCTTGATCTTAAATAGTCAAATACTAACAAATCCCCATAATAATTTAACCTATACAAATAAAGCAAACACTGCCAAGTCAATCGCGCTAACACAGTTACAGCCATGTACAATGGAAGAAATTGCTAATTTTATAGATAGCTTAAGCACAAATACTAGCTCCGGATTAGACGGGGTAAATAGCAAATCAATAAAAAGTTTGAAACACATCATCCTTCCTGAACTTACTAATTGCATAAATAAAAATCTAGAAAACGGTACTTTCCCTGATAGTTTAAAGATCGCTAAAGTTACACCTATATTTAAATCTGGTACTAAATTGGAACCTGGCAATTACCGCCCAATATCTGTTCTTCCTGTAATGTCTAAAATCTATGAAAAACTTTTATATAAACGTCTTGAAACTTATCTCTCTGCACAAAACTTCTTTTACAAGCAGCAGTATGGTTTCAGACCGAAATCTAACACACTGTCAGCTACAGTAGACCTCATAACTAAAGTGAAACTTAGTATTGATAAAAAACAAATAGCACTAGGAGTCTTCATAGATTTAAAGAAGGCTTTTGATACAATTAGTCACGACCTATTATTAAAAAAACTATTTGATATTGGCATTGCAGGAACCGCTCATGAGATACTCAGATCTTACCTCACAAATCGTCGGCAAGTGGTTAAGATCGGTGAAACACAGAGTGGGCCCAGAGTTGTAACCTGTGGTATACCTCAGGGATCGATTCTGGGGCCTCTTTTGTTTCTTATATATATAATAATGTAAAAGAACTCGGGCTTAATGGAGACATAACGTTATACGCCGATGATACCGCTCTATTCTACTTTGGCCATTCTATAGACTCTGTTATTAAAGACGCACAAAATGACTTAGATGTTCTAAACACTTGGTTTCAACGCAATCGGCTTACTATAAATATATCAAAAACAAACTATATAATATTTACAGCAAAAAACAAAAAAATATCACACTACACGCCATTGACAATAAATAACCAAATTATAAATAAAGTTAATGAAGAGAAATATCTTGGACTGATATTAGACTCGCACTTAACATGGAAACCACATATTTCTAAAATTAAAACAAAATTAACTTCTCTTTCTGGTGCCATACGGGGGATGGCTGTATGTTTACCGCACCGAGTTCGATATAATATATACAATTCTCTTATAAAACCGCATTTGGAATACTTGACTGAAGTTTGGTGCACCGCTGCGAAAACAAATCTAGAACCACTACAAAGGTCACAAAATAAACTTATTAAAATATTATTTAAATATGATTTCCTTACACCAACAAATCTACTGTATAAACAAACAAAATTATTAAATATTACTCAAACATATATATATAAAACTTGTATATTAATAAGAAAAATATTAAATAAAGATATATATACTCAAATAACATTCAAAAAGAAACAACAAATACAAAAAATTGGACTAAGACGTGCAAACGACCTTTGCCTCCTAACCCCAAGAACTAATTATGGTAAAAAAAACTTAATGTACGAAGGTGCGAAATTGTATAACCAATTACCGAAAAATATCAAAGAAGCAAAATCAATCCCAACATTTAGAAAGCACTTAAAATATTATTTAACTTCTAACCTGAGCGTACATTGATTTCACTATTTTACGCGTCGCTTCTAGCTACACTCGGTCTGTGTAAGGTGCGCGTCCAAGCATTGTTTGCGCCTTTGGCTATGTAAGACTTTAAAAGTACCCTATTTTTTTTAGTATTTTGTTGCTCTAGGAATAAAAAAATTGCTAAAACATGTATAATTACAACTGAATGTGCTTGAGTGAAATTGATTCGATATATTAGTGTACGCCTAGGATAAGACTATTATTTTTGTTTGTATGTGTTTTAAAACTTTTCATATAAGTGAATTATTATTAATAAATTCTTATGAGAAATAAAGATATCTCAAACCTTAAACGCAAATATGTCAATTTGTTTTTTTTTAACACAGATACACCCATTAAAAAAGTTTGTTTCATTGTTTGTTTTTGTTTTTTTTCATTTACCACTAGCATAGCAGAGTTTAGGGCAACCTGATCATAGATAAGATTGGTCAAATCTGTTCGAAAACCGAAACAGCACGCCCCGACTCCTTATCTGACCTACCCCTAGAGTGTTTTTTAAAAAGCCGTAGTGCGCGGAAAGAGAGCAGCCCCCGCCCACCGTAGCAAATTGCAGTGCGAGCCGTAGCGGCTGAGGCTGTTCGCTGATGGCGACCAATAAGCTGAAGCTGCGGAGATGAGCATGGGTGCCTGCAATTTGTTACGTAAGGGTGAAGGGGCTTTACTTCACGCAGCGCCGAAGCTGTTGCTGGAGTTACTTTAGGTCAATATTTCTGTGTAAAAGTGAGGTTACGATTTTATAAAAAAAAATCATTACTCATAAACTATACGTTTTCGCAAGAGGGGAAGGCTTCCCCTGAACCCTCCTCCTCTCCCAACCCCCCTCCCGACCCGTACACAAGTACCGAATGTCTGTAGTTTTACCGGACAGGTTATTAAGCAACGATTGTTTTAGAGCAGGGGTCGGCAACCTGCGGCTCGAGAGCCACATGCGGTTCTTTGGATGTGAAGCTGCGGCTCTTTAGTTCCTTACGCAAATATTATTTATTTTAAAAAATAAAATATTTAAAATCGTTCTGAATCGATTAACGAGTAGGTATTAGGCACCATTTCTATCTCTCAGCCACTTGTACTCGCTTTTCACCGCACCCCTCTCCGGTGACACGCGTCGTCACTTATCGTAACCTTTTGTATTTCTTTTTTTTTTTCAAAAATATTTATTTATGCAAGTACTATTATGCTTGGCAAGAAAAAAATTTGTGGATCTTTAAATACTTTGAAATTTTTTAAATTGTAATTTTGACTCTTCCGACTCAAAAGGTTGCCGACCCCTGCCGTAGGTGTCGTAAGTGGGGATAGAGGGAAACTGAAACAGGATATAGGCAGCAGCATTGTTCTTTCGCCATCCCGCCTTGCCAGCGTGGCAACTATAGCAAAAGCCTACAAGACAATCTAAAGGGGAGGCCAATTAAGGCGCTACTCCTAGCGAACGACCTGCAGCATTCGGTTCTATACATTCCACGCGCTCTCTCTACAATAATATATCGCGTAAGAAATTCGCCCAAATTTTAAAATATTTTCTTTATAAAATCGAATATTTATCTTTTTAAAAAATCAAAACGTTCATTATTAAATTGCCTATCCATTAGTGGCAATCGTAAAATAAAAAAGTTTGGAAAATCCAAAAAGTGTTATAATCTCATTTGATTATATAAAAGAAAAATATCTCTTTTTCTATATTTGAGACGAACGAAGAGATCCATGAGAATATTTTTTTGTAGAAAAGTACCAGTCCTTTTTTTACATTTTCATTGATTACAATTAAATGAGAACAAATTACTCAGTGATTTTTTAAAGGAACCTGTGCGTTGAGATTCTAAACCTAATAAAGAGGAATTATTTTGATACATTAATTTTAACGACTACGATTAATACAGACTTCCGGGCACCCTCGATAATTTTTTTCAATCAGTTTGTTTTTACACTAAAAACAAAAAATTACTTTTAAAAATAATAGAAACATGAAAACGAGTGATTTTTCTCGATATATGTGTATTTTTATTATTCTTAAAGTGCGGTAGTTAAAAAATGAAGACATTTTTAGCTCAGTAAATTACTGGATTTCCATTGTTAGCGTATTTTAATAATTTATATTGCTGTAACTAACATGGTGGGTAATTAACGAAAAAATCACTCGTTTTCATGTTTCTATTTTTTTAAAAGTTTTGTTGTAAAAACAAACTGATTAATAAAAATATCGGGTACCCGGAAGTCTGTATTAATGTAGTCTTAGATTATGTTTCTAGTTATTTAATTTTTCTCGCTTGTATTTATAACTATAATGTAAATCTGTTTAAGATAATTATAAGAAGTATAAATAATATTTTATAATGTAAAAACTTACGGCTTAATATCCAATTTTATAAAAACGGAAACCACACAAGCAACGCCATCTGTAGTTTAGCACTGTTAAATTACAAGCCTATAAAAGACAGATGTCGTCGGTTTAAGCGGCAGCGACAAGCGGCAGCGACGAACGGCGGCAGTCTTACTAAAACTGTTGAGTAGAGAGTACGTACACGGAAGATAAATTGTGAGTAATAATAATAATTATTGTTATACCTTGTTATTTGTGTGTCTAAAATGTACATTGTTATTATAATGAATATCTATAACCTTGTTTAGATTTATATTTTATGCAGTTAATAAAATACATGATGTTACTTACGTATTAAGCGACTTTACTTAACACCATTAGGTGAGAGTAGAGCACAACCTCGATGCTTCGCTTATGAGACGTGTAATAATGTATACTTTATGAGGAGATGTATGTCATCAATAATTTTTATATAATATTTTTTTATTATTAATAATAATTAATTAGCATTTCTGTGGTTTAGTTGTAGGAAGATTCATCAAGTATTTACTCCTTTAAAAAAAACTGGAATTGGCTATTATGGAATAAAGATTGTGTAGAAATGTAATAGGTTTTTTTATTAGTTGATATATCATTTTAATAAGAAGTACATAGCTCCTAAAAACGTCACAAATAACGACTAGCGTTGCATTTTGCACAAACACGCAACTTAAGGGAATTGATAAATACTACACAGTTGCCACGCTTGGTGGGCAGGTTGGTACCCGCAGTTTATTTTTTTTTCTAGTGGTTATTAGGAAGACGCTGTTGCCTTTGTATTTCTCTGTCTCACCTCTTGCGACACCCACGGGACGATATGGGGTACTGGATATTCTTACACGCTACTGCACGTTCTATTGCTCAAACTTACTGATCAAAATACACAGGAACCAGCGAACTACGAGTTCTCCTACAAAGTGAGCGACTACGAGAGCGGAAGTGACTTTGGCCACGCGGAAAACCGGCAGGACGATAAAGCAGAAGGGACGTACTCTGTCGTACTTCCTGATGGAACCAAACAGGTACGTTGAAATCATCTTCATCAGCTCTACTGCTTTGGAACCCGAGTAAATTCCACCTATCTATTTCTGCAAACACAAATGCGAATACTATTGTATTTTAGTGTAGTAAGACACACTGAAATACAATATATAAGTTTTCACAGTACGCGAGCAATTTTAAGCGTTGATTTACCACGTGCTCCACGGTGAAGGAAAACATCGTGAGGAAACCTGCATGTCTGTGAAACAAAAAAAAATATTTCGAAGACGTGTAGAGTTCTCTCGTTTCTTTTACAGCCTATATACGTCCCACCACGTAGGACGTATGTAGGCTGTAACTTTAACTTTATAGTAAGATAGTCAGAATTGTAAGAGGTTGTGAATGTTAATTCTTTCTTTACTGGGAACAAGACATTCCATCTTAGTCCTTAGGAGTGACAATGCATCTGCATTATGATTCATCATCGGATACAGATGTATATGTCTATGGGCTACAGCACCCACTTGCCATCAGGTGGAACGTGTGCTCGTTTGTCACCATTCTTCTAAAAAAATTGAATTGAAAAACAAACTTACAGACCACCTGATGGAACGTTGCAGGAGTCAGTTGTTCACCTGCAACCAACATAAATAAAGAATTGGCCTCAATGAGGACTCAGATGGAATACCTCATGGCCTGTTATTATACTGGGTTTCTTCCACATTTCTCTACATCTCTTATACACTTCAGATGTGGATGATAATAACCCCTGGGTATGGTGATCGATACCAAGCTGATTCTAATTTATTGTGTGTTAATTGTAACATACATGATTGTAAGCTGTTATTTAAAAAAAATCCCGCTGGGTTTTTTTGCTGGTTCTTCCCAGGATAGAGGTTTTTTTTCCGAATCAGTGGTAAATTAAAAAAAGTGACTTTCAATAAGTATTATTTATAATCTATATTGAATAAAAAAGTTTCTGTTTCTGTTTTTGATCTCTTACTTTTTATCCTTGGACTACAGTAGCTAGTCGCTATAATTTGTCAACAAACGAAAGTGTACAAACAAGTATATTTTTTTTAAACTTTGTCCTAAGAAATTAATATACCACGTTTTTCACCTACAATTTCTGATTCTGAGCTATGATCAAAATTTCAAGTCCCTAGCCCATCGGGAAGTGTTCGAAATTTGAATTGCAAGATTCCACCCGTAACGGCAGAAAAACTTGAAAGTGACATTATGAAAACGTGGTAAAATTAACACATTTTCATGGCTTGTATTCTGTTCTTTCCAGGTGGTAGAGTACGAGGCTGGTGAAGATGGATTCAAGCCAAGGATCTCGGTAATACCAGCCGACACCAGCTGCATCTAGCCGCGCAGGTGACGGGTCTTATTGACACAACTCCATAATCCTATAGAAAAGACGACACACTATTGTAAAATTTAATATTTATATAATTTAAAAAACCGACAATATGAAATAATGGAATAAAAAATAAATAAATTAGAAATGTGTTTTACTCGTAATTGGTTCTATAATAAAAGAATATATTATTATAATCACAACATTTTCAAATATTCTTTAAAGTTACAGCCTGTAAACGTCCCACAGCTGGGCACAGGCCTCCTCTCATTTCTGAGAAGGTTACGTAGATAAGCATGTTTTACCCATTTATTTTAATGATATGAGATGTTTAGAGATACTTAGTAACCAACCAAAAACATATTAAAACAAAGTCTTGACGCTGCTCCTGTCTGTCCATCTCAATCAATCATCAAAGTTCAAAAACTTTATTAAACTAAGTTGTGTATATATATTATAAGGAATTTATGGATGATAATACCTCTGAGTAAGGTGATCGCTACCAAGCTATTTCTAATTTATGTGTTATTAATTGTAACATACATGATTGTAAGGTATTATTTAAAAAAAAATTCCCCTGAGTTTCTTGCTGGTTCTCCCCAAGACAGTGGTTTTTCCGTACCAGTGGTAAATTAAAAAAAAAGTGGTTTTTAATAAGTATTATAGTAATCTATATTGAATAAAAAGTTTCTCTTTATGTACCACTATTAATAGAATCTTTAGAAATTATGAGTTACAGTAATAAATAGAGTTCCATTATATTTTGTTTTTTGTAATACAACCAACTTTAAAACATACTTCTTACCGTGTGTTGGTAATATTATAAATAATATAAATGGACATACTATCCCTTAGTCATCTTGGCTTTAATCATAATACTTTAATGGTATTTGGAATTTACACTTGTGGCCGTGGAAGGAAAAGGGGAGATCTCCTGCCGGGCAAGGTGTTCTGCCCGGAGAGCGGCCAACACTCCGTGTGATAGTTCGGAGAAGTTCTATATATACTGTTCAATGATTCGGAATGTTGATAGCGCGATTTAGGCTTCGGTGTATTTTTGCTTGTGGCGCGACGACAGCGCCGCTACATCATCCCCTTGCTCAGACCGGAGGTCGATAGTTCAGCCTCGTTGCCGACGAATGTGCAAGTGCCAAGAGCCTTGTAGTCTGCGGTGAGTCGAGAATAAGGCTAGTAATTTGCGAGAGTGCCGTGAAGCAGAGGCGAGCAGTATGGCTCAGAGCCGTGCCGAACACTGTATAGCGCAGAGAGTAGCTTGAAGGAACGGGAAGCATTATTATTCCAGTGCTACGATGAACCTTGTGAAGCTAGATGGCTTGCAGGATATGAAGACTGCAGACGATATCTGCTCGGGAGCGAATGGGTGGGGTATTTTATGACGATGATGGAGCTTGAAGTTTTCGAAGGTTGTTGGTTGCGTGTTCAGATCACGTCGGGGTCACCACTGTGGCCGTGGAACGAAAAGGGGAGATCTCCCGCCGGGCAAGGTGTTCTGCCCGGGGAGCGGCCAACACTCCGTGTGATAGTTTTTTTTTTGCGCCCGAAGCAAATATGGGCAACCCTCCGGAAAGCGGGGGAGGGAGGCGGTGAATGCTCATAGCATACCACGCAGCCGGCTGCGTGGTTATGTGGAGACTTTTACCCACTAAACACCGCCTTTTAGGAATTGGATTAACGATCTGACTAGAGATCTCTAAGCCGTATACGAACGCGACCCTCCTTGGCAGAAAGGAGGGCGCAAGCGGCGCAAAGCCGCTTAGAAGAGTGCCTTACTAAGGCAGATTAAGGGATGTGTTATGTAGGCTCGGCCTGAGCCGCCAGGAGGCAGTTCAGGTCGGCCGAAAGCTTGTTGGGGGGGTCCGAGAGAGAGTTTCTCGGTCTGCGCACACTATAGCGAGTGTGGATAGGGGCTGCATAGGCAGCTGTCTCACGAATGAGATGATTTGGGTGGGACTCTGAGGCTTTGAAAAATCTCTCAGAGAGTGATTTAAGAAACTGCTGGATTGTTGGGAGCTCTAAGTCTCGATGTAGGTCGGCATTACGGACATAATAGGGCGAGTTAGTGGCCCTACGACAGAATAGATTTTGAACTATTTGAAGTTCATTTATAGCTTTGGGCTTAGCATGTGCGAAAATGGGGGCCGCGTAGGTCATGACAGGTCGTATGCAGACCTTATATAGGGTTCTCTTGTTGCGGAGGGACATTTTACTGTGTCTGCCCAACATGCTGTTGAGCCTACCCATGTAAAAACGTGCGGTGCGAGTAACCGTCTTGATATGGGGCTCGAAAGTGAGCCTTGCATCAAGGGTGACGCCTAAGTATTTGGCTTTAGTTTGCCATGGGACAGGGGTTCCTAACATCCTGATTGGCGGAGTGGTGGTGAGACGACGTCGTTTATATTCGAAGCAAACGGCGGAGCTTTTCTCCGGGTTTACGTCGATACGCCATTTTTGGAACCAAGCTCCTAAGTCGCTTACTGACTTTCGGATCTTGTTCCGAATCTGTGGTAGTGAGTTGCCTTTAGAGTAAAGGGCTGTGTCATCTGCAAAGAGGGCTAGTTTAACACCATTCGACGGGATAGGGATGTCGTTGGTTAATAGTATATATAGGAGGGGGTGTGATAGTTCAGAGAAGTTCTATATATACTGTTCAATGATTCGGAATGTTGATAGCGCGATTAAGGCTTCGGTGTATTTTCGCTTGTGGTGCGACGACAGCACCGCTACACACTCACAATCAATTAAAACATGTCAAAAGTAGAATCGATACGACATTTATGCACAGACAGGCACTATATTTTGCCGGAATTAGTGAAAAGAATTTCGATCGATCTTAAAGTACCTATAAATGCTGAATATACCTACAACTTAGTTTTATATGTACTATAATTATTCAACAGTGTTCTATTTTAACTTATAATACCGGTGAAAACTACTAGAAAATCGTTTTCAGTTTATTTTTAGGATGTTGTTAGATTCATAATTTAATTGTTAATTTCTCAGGACTCCGTTTAGATGCAGTAAAACTAATAACACTATTGTAATCTATTTTCCGTGTAGTGGCGGTTAAGAATATCCACTACCCCATATCTTCCCGTGGGTGTCGTAAGAGGCGACAGAGGGAGACAGGCAGGAGATGGGCAGCAGCATCTTCCTGATAACAGCAACTGTACGACAAAAAAAACTGCGGTTGCCAACCCGCTCGCCAAGCGTGGCAACTATGGCAATATACCCCCCATGAACAATTACACAAATAGACGGCCCCCAGTCCCCGGCGGCCCCGCTATTCCTGGCTACGGTGGCGACCATGGTAACGGCGGGGCAGGGGGTGCTAAGAATCTCCGGTGGAGGTTCGGTTGCCACCTACGACGACTCGACCTGGCAACATTTAACGCACGCACACTGAGGACTGATGAGAAGATCCTGGAGCTGGAAGAAGAGATAGACAAGTTGCGCTGGAGTATTATAGGATTATCCGAGGTCCGAAGAGAGGGGGAGGACACGGTGATTCTCGAATTCGGCAACTTGTTCTATCACCGGGAGGGCGACCATCTGTCCCAAGGAGGTGTCGGATTTATCGTCCACAAGTCTCTCGTCAACAACGTTGTAAAGATTGGGAGTGTGTCGACGAGGGTCGCGTACCTGATACTCAGAATCACCAAACGGTATTCGCTGAAGATCATACAGGTTTACGCACCAACCTCGGCACATCCCGATGAGGAGGTAGAGGAAATGTATGAGGATATTTCCAAAGCCATGCATTCCTCCAAAACCCACTACACGGTTTTGATGGGAGACTTCAACGCAAAACTAGGCACAAGAGAAACCGGTGAGCTGAAGTTAGGGAAATTTGGAGTAGGGCAACGGAACCGAAGGGGCCAGCAGCTGGCCGACTTTATGGAGAAAGAGGGACTCTTTATGATGAACTCTTTCTTCCAGAAGCGGCCCCACAGGAAGTGGACCTGGTCGAGCCCCGACGGTTCGACAAAAAATGAGATTGACTTCATTATGACCACCAGACGCCAACTGTTCAGTGATGTGTCAGTGATCGCAAGGGTGAAAACTGGCAGCGATCACCGAATGGTTAGAGGCACACTGAACCTAAACGTTAAGTTGGAGAGGTCTCGTCTAATGAAGTCAACGCTCCGTCCCCCTCGTGCTCTAATCCAGAATCCCGAAAACTTTCAGCTCGAGTTACACAACCGCTTTCAGTGCCTACAAGATTGCAATGCAGTGGAAGATATGAATGACAAGCTCGTGTAAACTGTCCATGCGGTCGGAGCTAAGTTCTGCAAGACCCATCGCAGAAGAATACAAAAACTCTCCGATCACACTCTTAATCTCATGGCTGTTAGACGGGAGATGAGGCTGCAATCGTCAACAGATTTGACAGCATACAGGCAACTGAACAGACAGATCTCCAAATGCATGCGGCGAGACTTACGCAACTTTAATACTGCTCGTATTAAAGAAGCGATCGAGCGGAACCAGAGCTCCAAAGTCTTTGCCAGAGATCTGTCTGCCAGAAAGAGCCAACTGTCAAAGCTGAAGACTAAATGTGGCAGCATCGTTTCCGGGACACCTGAGATGTTGAGTGAGATTGAGAGGTTCTATGGGCAGCTGTACACATCATCGTTGGAGCCACACGCAAGTGTGAGTAACGATCCAAGAGCAAGTCTTATCCGACACTATTCCGATGATATCCCGGTCGTCAGTCTAAGCGAGATTAGAATGGCTCTCCAGCACCTTAAAAACGGCAGGGCCCCAGGCGAGGATGGAATTACAGCGGAGCTTCTGAAAGCGGGTGGAACACCGGTACTGGAAGTCCTTCAGAAGCTCTTCAATTCCGTCCTCCATGGTGGCACTACTCCAGAGGCGTGGAGCAGAAGTGCGGTGGTCTTGTTCTTTAAGAAAGGCGACAACGCTCTCTTGAAGAACTACAGACCGATTTCCCTTCTGAGCCGCGTCTACGTGCTGTTTTCGAGAGTCAT